TGACTGCTACCTTTCGAGCTCAGTCAGTAGCTCTAAGATTTCGACAATTTCTTAGTAGTCAAGTAACAACATTAGATGCTATCGACGAAATTGCACCACTTATGCAAACTATTCTACATATTTCTTAATTTGTATATGTCCTGAACAAATAAGTTATTGTATAGAATTTTTCTTAGACTAACGTGACTTTGTTAGTTCAATATTAAAATAAACTTGTTTTAAAAGTCAAAAATAAGCGGAATTTTAATTCTTTTATAGACAAGAAAATCATTTTATTCCATTTGTATTTTTTTCAAAAAGTAAAAAACTCATGATTAGATGTACGACAGCTCTTTCATATGAGCTAGTTATTGAATGCCTTGTTATATCCTATTGGAAACCAGCTAAGATACTTTTATGAGAGCTGTCATACATCTTTACATAATCTAAAATAGTTTAGTTTTCATTTAGTTTTGACAATAATAATTATGATGCTTTTGAATTTAAAAATTCAATCAAAAAATTCTATTATTATCTTGATGACATTTACGTATTATTTCAATATTTATAGAGGAAACAGTTGCAAAATCTGATACTCTGAACTTTTATTTTCAAATCTTTTTGCGTTTAAAATAGAATAAAAGTTTACACATTACATGAATAATGATTAAAATATATAAAAAATGATAATATTTCTTAGGATATCAGTTTGATAAATGTTTTAGTTCTTCTTTGGAGCTGAATCACTAAATAGACTGGCACATGCAAATTCAGGATAACGTTCACCTACTACATCGGCTTTTTCACAAGCTTCTCGAATTTCTTTTATTTCTTCTTTGCTTAACTTGATTTGAGCAGCCCCAACATTTTCTTCTAAATTTTTGATTTTGCTTGTACCTGGTATTACAATGAAATCATTACCTTGAGCAAGAATCCATGCTAATGTTAATTGACTTGGTGTACAACCTTTTTTATTCGCTATTGCTGTCAATTCATTGACCAATTTAAGATTCTTTGGAAAGTTTTCCTTGGAAAAACGTGGAATTATTCTTCGAAAATCATCTGCTTCAAAATCATCTGGACTTTTGATTGTTCCACTAAATAATCCACGACCTAATGGTGAATAACAAACAATAGCTACACCAAGTTCTCGACATGTTTTTAAAAGACCAATTTCATCTCTTTCAATATCCAAACTAAATGGTGAATATTCAATTTGTACACAAGCAATTGGATGAATAGCATATGCTCGTCGTAATGTATCACTTGAACATTCAGACAAACCAATATATTTTATTTTACCAACTTTAACAAGTTCTTTTAAAGCATCCATTGTTTCTTCAATTGGTACAGTTTTGTCAATGCGATGAACATAATAAAGATCGATTGAATCAATACCGAGTCTTTTTAGACTTTTTTCACATGCTTCATAAACATATTGTGCATCACCACGAATTGAGTAAGATTTCGTGTCAGGAGAGA